TGGGTTTCCCCCCCCCGCCCCCCCCCCCCCATGCAACTCTCATTGTTAATGCTAGCGGCATTTCTTTAGGGAATTCTCATGTATTAGACTTAGTGAATACCCAGAACTCTGTGAAAAATGAATGGAAAAGATTACAAATTCATGCATCCTCACGATTTTATTTTTTTTTGAATTAAGATGTATGTAATTGATTTAATTAGATCTTGTGATTCCCTCCTTCGTGTTGTTTGTTTTAGTATCTAAAATTTGCTCTAAAGTGCCAGAAGTGATTTAAATAGCTGTGTAACATTAAATTAAGTATTTCAGTCAAATGTCTCAATTTTTATTCAACATATATCATAGAATCATAGAATGCTTTGGGTTGGAAGGGACCTTGAGAGATCATCTAGCCCAACCCCCCTGCAGTGAGCAGGGATTGAACCTGTGACCTTGGCGTTATTAGCACCACGCTCTAACCAACTGAGCTAACCTTGGATAAGAAAAGTGAAAAAAGAATATAAAGAATGCTATTAAAAAGCTGACTAAGTGAGATACATGCTTGACATTGCTATTTTCTGATTTACAATCTCAGAAAGTAACCTGGAAATTTGATCATAGAATCATAGAATGGTTTGAGTTGGAAGGGACCTTAAAGACCATCTAGTTTAAACCCCCCTGCCATGGGCAGGGACACCTTCCACCAGACCAGGTTGCTCAAAGCCCCATCCAACCTGGCTTTGAACACTTCCAGCAATGGGGCATCCACTTCTCTGGGCAACCTGCTCCAGTGCCTCACCACCCCCATAGTGGCAGTAAAGTATAAGATGCCAAACTAGGTTTACTGAAGCAGCATGAAGAAAATAAACGTAACACAACAATTTAAATCCAACAAATTTTCTATTTTTCCGTTGAAAACTATAATCTTCACTTCATGTTCATTTTAATACTTAGATATTTGACTATTTTTTGCCATATTTTAAATAAAATGTCATTACATAAGTAGTAGGAATGATAATAAATTATCTGATTTTAGCACAAGAGCATACTGTGCATAAAACAGGTGCTTTTGACAATTGAAAGCTGCAGGTTTCCTGTATTTATTAACTTAAAGCCTATTAAAAACACTCTAAAGAGTGTTAAATAGTGCATACTAATTAATTATGATAAGGTTATGGCATAATTAAAGATTAGTTTTCCTGGGGATGGACTCCTTTAGTTTGTACCTTCCAGTGTGCCTTCCTAATAATCTCTTTCACAATTACTTCTCAGAAAGCAGTATAATTATTCCACTTCAATTAAATGCAATTATTTTCCTACTGTCCAAGCTACTAAAAGGGTTTTGTATAGACTGTCACATAGACTAACTGCTCTAGCCTGTGTTCCTATTTAAAATCTGACTGGAATTAGAACTGTTAAGGATCCGTAAAATTCAGTAAAACATATTTAAGATAATAATGCAGAACTATATGAAAATAATGGCCTATTCTGCCATAAAGCTTGATAATAACTGAAATTAGTATTTGAGAACAGAACTTGCTTCCACTAAAACAAAAGGAAAAGAAGTTAAGCAGGATAAAACCCCAGAAATTTAGATTCAGTTGGACTGTGACAATATTTTAGACTTACTTGTATCCTTTGGGTGTCAAGATACACTTTGAGTCATGCTGGCAAGGATTCAGGTTTTGAGCACAGAAATCTAGTTTCTCCTCACAGAGCTCACCTGAAATATAATGTATGGTGTCAATTCAGTGAAAATATCCCAGTGACCTGAAAATAGCTGTTTCTATTTTAAAAGTAACTGCTACAACTTTGTTAAACTGAAAAATGCATACTTCATGATATAATAATAAATACTACCTTTATGATAAATACTAATAAATAAATACCAATAAATAAATAAACCAATAAATATTAATCTTTCTGATAACTCCTTTATAAAAAAAATTAGTTTAATGTCAATCATCTATCCATGGACATAAATGATGATTTTGTGAAAAAACATTTTTTCGTGTACAATGTTTATGTAGCTCTGCTGTACAGCGAAACTCTAGTGATTGAATTCCTTCTTGCCAGGACAAACAAGCCATCAATAAGCTTTTCTCGTATTTATTTCTAAGCTCATTACACACAGAAATACCCAGGTTTCCCCTATAAGTAATCTATTACCTGAAAAAACCCTGTTAATATCAGCGCATGTCAGTATAATTCCAATTATCCCAAAATGAAAACTTGCTTTCTACTTTTTCTTAAATATGACTCTCCAATTTTTGCATTTGTTAATGTACCATAATTATCTATCATCTGTTCTGTGAAAAGAAAAGAAAAAAAAAAAAATCTACGTCAAATGTCTACCCTTCCCTGCTGCTAGAAGCCTAACAGTGGATCTAATTTCCAACATGGGCTGTATAATCTATAAAATATTTTAATATGATTAAAATATTATTTCATTTGCAACTTTATGACAAGGAAATACAGGTGTGTAAACAGATCAACAGTCTATCTCCCTGACTGACTAATCAGAAGATATTACGAATAGTGCACTCGCAAAGTTTATCACTGGTTTGTAAGATAGATACACTTATTCCAGCATCCATATGAATAATATATGTATAATCAACAGGTATAAACCCTGTGTCTGCTGAATTTAGGGCCTTACAGGTCTATCAGGCCCTAAAACTTATGGGAAGGAGTAGGGTTGCCCCTTGTCATTTGTCAAGTAATAAAAGATGAGCTACTGAGCAAAGAGAAGTTGAACTAAACACCAAAATGAAGAGCAAAAGATAGTGGATGAGCAGATACTTTCGCTGCTCAAGTTGAACTTTCCTTCAAAGAGGCACAATATTTGGTATCCCTCAGTTTATTTATCTGAGTGTGGTAGTGGCCTGCAGTGTAGTTAGCTGAAGAATCAGTATCTGCTGGAGGGCAGCCTGAGATTAAAATAGCGTATAATGGCTTCACCTCTTTCCTGTAACTGTTAACACAGTACTGAGGATAAGGACAGCACCACCATGAATACGGTATGGGGAAAGAAGGACAGACCATTTAGGAACACAACTTGGGTAGAATCAGGAACAGGTAGATTGGAAAAAGGGAGAAAGGTATAGGATAACAACATTGGAGTGGAGATTTTGGAGAGAGTATATGAACGAAGATATCTTCCAGAATACATACACATGTGTGTACGTGTATCAGCTCATCAGCTCATCAGCTACTGCTGTCATTAAGCAATAAGGTTTCTGACATTATACACTGCTCCTTGCCAAATGCCTAGCACCACACAGAAGCTGCCTTCTTGCTTACATGGGCTTCTCTGGAATTATAGAAGTACACATCATAATAAACTGAAAGCAACAGTAGATGGTTAAAGGTCTATTTGTCTTTTTTTCTTTTTTTTACAGGTTCAACAGATCTCCAGAGAAATTTGTCCTTTCCACAGTAAGTGTGCTTACATACTAGTGTTTAAAATTGCATATTGTGAATATGAGTACTGACTACCCAGGACTTGAGACATTGTTTCCAGGACTTATCTTTTAGGTTATGTAGAACTTATTTCAAATGATGGACAAATAAACCAAAATTTAAAAGAGCTGAGGAACAGTCTACATTAAAGCAAGGACAGAGAAAAAGGCAAAACTGAACCAGAGCCAAATATGGTTATGCTGGATAAAAACACATCTGAAACATGTATGCTAAGTGTGATCAGACATGGGACCTTTACATCTTCAAAAATGAGAGAAGCCAAAACCAGCTGGACAAGTACTTTGCAGCCATCCAAAAGATCCAGACTGGTTCTACACAAAGATTTTTTAAAAAAAAAATAAAAAAATAATAGCACATTACCAATTTGCAAGTAGTGCATTTTCCCTAGAAAACCAAACAGAACTTTGAGTGAACACAAGAAAATGGCCTTCAAGCACAGGCTACTTAACAGTCCTCAGGAAAACTGTCAGTAACAATGTGACTTAGTCAATATATATAGGAAACTGAATGAAGATCAAATGCAGGCCACTGAAGATGACTAATAAAAAGGATTTTAATTCTATCCTCAAAGCCTCTTCAAACTCTCAATGGACTTATTAGTCTGGAAATGTGCAACTGTTATGACTAGGTCAGTGCACAAAGAATCTTGAAATACCATGGATTCTTTGCATCCCATGACATATCAAACATGAAACAGATCCCTTTCTCTTTTCAAAGGGTTTTGTTCAAACATACGTATATAAGAGGAAGTAATTCTTCACATAGCATTTAGTCAATTTGCAGAATTTGTTGTAATAGCTGAAATCTGTTTAAAGACCAGCAACATTTAAGAGTGAGAGATAAATATGGGAACAGAGAATTCAGATTTTCAGGAACATGGAGTGGAATAATAAAAAATCACTGTTTTTTTAACCTAGTTTATACACATTCCTATGGCGTAGAAATGCATATATGTGCGTGCATATATGTGCGTACATATATGTATATATATGCATAGATGTACACACACCCCAATACAAACATCTTATTATGGCATATAGTCTATATTAAATTACATGCAGAACTGCAAATTATATGAAAACCCGATTACAAAGAATAAAAATATGGCTGTTCACTACTTACAACACTTGGACAAAAACACCTCTAAACATTCCCAAGATTATTAATTCTAGCAGTATATCAGAGACTTTCTGAAAGTGACATATTGAGCCTGTCTTTCAAGCAGGGCTGGAGGTTTGCTGTCCCTAGTTAGAATCACAGTAAAAGTTCAGTGGAAACCCCCCAAAATACCTAGAAAAAGGTAAATTAGGACTGGCATAATAGCAGCAAGCAATCTCACCATTGCTGTCAACTTTACTGAACTGGCATTGATTTTGATACAGGACACTAATTGGGCACAGACCTCTGAAATTTCTTGTGTGGCTAACAGCTTTATTGAGTAGTGTCTAAGCCTGCCCATTTTTTAAATTTTTCCACCCCCCTTCAAGGTACTTATAAAATACATGATTTCTTAGTTAAGAGTACATTGCATTTTAGTAGTCATAGGTTGATGGCCCTAATATCTTCTGAACTACACTGAAAGCTGAATCACCTCATGAAAAGCTCAGGGACACTTGAAAAGTCTTAATTCCCAAGTTGTAGCTGTGAATCCTGCATAGAGACTGAGGGTCAAACTGGAAGTTTAAGTTTGAAACAGGCTTAGAGTTTTGAAAAATGTCCACTTCAAATCGTAAGATCCATGTTACACTACCAGGCCTACTGCAGCCAAATGGCTTGCAAACATCATCAGGTATTTTTGAAATTATGGTCAGACTTTGATATTACTACTCTGTAGAAAAGTGCATAGACTGAAAAAGAAGAGAAACAATGATTCAAAAACTCACGTCTTTAAAAGACAGGTCTTTTTGTGCTGTGACAGCATAAGAGGAAGGGAAGTTTCCCCTTGCATTTGCAAATTGTATGCACTGTGAAATAAGTCAGAGTCATATCACTGGAGGGAGCTTTCAGTTAAACAGTCGGTTAGCAACTAGCCTAGGGAAGGAAACAGGAATCAAGGAAAGGACATGGTAAACATGGCGGTCCATGTAGTGAAATAATAATGTAAAAAACCCTATGAACAAAAAAGTCAGTTTTATGTAAAGTACAAAGTTCCATTATAAAGAAAGAGTAGAATTCATGACAGACTTGCACGCAGGATCAGTAAAAAGAAAAACAAGAAAAATTCAAGATGGAATCCAAAATATGTACATCAGATACTGAATTTCTGAATGAAAATAAAAATACCAGAAGAACAAACCAAAATAATCCAAGTGTGCGGTCTTCATTTGTACTGTTAACAGATTTATATTCTGAATGGAGCATTCCCATAACCAAAATATAACTGTTTGCAAGGAAGTTAATAGAGAAGGTAAGTAAAAATATGTGACATGGAATCTGAACCACTGAAGAATTGTTTCTGTAAAGCAACACCTCTTTTAGTGTAATGAATGTTATTCATGAATAATGTGTTATTCAGAATTTAACTGCGACAAGGTGAAGGGGAGAAAGTAATTTTGCTGAAATGAAAAGATAGTGATGGAAGTGAAACACTTCATTGAAGGAAATATCAGATTTACCAAGTTAGTCTCCTTAGCTTTACTGGAATGAAATGTTAGAGAGTTCCCTGATTTGGGAAGCATAACACAATGTTTTAAAAGCCATACTTCAAAAGAATGAAAAAAGATTGTGAAACAAATGTCAAGGAAGTTTAATACCAATGTGTGTGTACATACTTCTATTCATCTAATAATATTGTAATTGAGGCTTCTGTAAGAGCTTGGCTAAGTAATTATGTTTTTGAAAGATGGGAACATTTCTTTATGTAGGAAAATAAGCAACAGACTAGTTTGTTTAAAAATAAGCAGTGGATAAAGTGTCAAAAATCGTATGAAAAGCTTCCAAAGTTTAATTAGAACCAGCAGTAACTCTCCTCATAAGACATCTTGCTTAATTATTCTAGGGAGTCTGAATTCTGGTATGGAGTAGCACTGCAACCAGCTAACCAGCTGAACTCTGTGTGGTCAGCACAGCCCAAATGAACACAACCATCCAAGGTCAAGACTGGAATATTTACAGAGATTTTGTAGCTACATATAGAGGATGATGCAGACTTAAACAGCCAGGCAACTGTTCATAACTTAAATACTGATGCTGAATTGTGTGTAAACCTTGATTAACTAACCAAAGTTATAAGTTTGCTAGATTCACAGGTCAATTTAGTTTTCCTCTGTGTATATTAATTTGCTCTTATGACTTAGAATCATAGAATCATAGAATCATTTAGGTTGGAAAAGACCTTTAAGATCATCCAGTCCAACCATTAACCTACACTACCAAGTCCACACTAAACCAATCAAGGGTAGACTAGACTAGACTAAACTAGACTTGATGAGATTATAAATCACAGAAAAACTTAACTCTGGATTTTCCAATATATAAAGACACATAGTACAACAAATAATGAGGAACAATGCAATGATGTGAAAAAGGATTTACATCATTGTTCTTTTGAATAGTTGGGCAATAAGTTCAAAACACAGTCAAATAAAGCAATGTCAGACACTATTTCTGAATGAATAGGAGAGCTCTAACACAAATGGACATGGGTTTCTGAATATAATAGTACATTGCTAATTACAGGCAAGCTTACTGAAGAAACAAGCTTACAATCACTAGTGTATTAGCAAAGCTGAATAAGATATTAGAATAAAATCTACAGACAGAATGTGAAAGAAAGAATGGTCAGTTTTAATTATCAAAATCAGGTTTTTGCTAGAAGACTTATTCACTGTTCCAAAGCTAAAATAACAAATATATATTACATACTTACTGGTAATTGCTAGAATAGCAGGATTTTATATGTGTACATATATGTCCATTCCAGCTTCTGAGCTTGGTTGCAATGTATTGTGAGTCAGCTTCTGCAGTATTCACGTTCTATCAATTAGGTATTATTATCTGAGCCTTTGACTGGAGGTCTCTGTTTACTTCTGCCTCAAATAGCCAATAGAGTGTAGGGGTGGTTGGAAAATGTCAGTGCCATTTAACAAACTATATATAGAAAAGTGGTGAATTTTTATGAAGTCTTGAGTTTGATGAACAGTAGACAACATAAATTATTTAAAGTCTTGAGCTCACTACTCAGAAAAGACAAATAAAAATATCTACTGTATGAGGGACAACATTGCTTACAGCCCCAGTAGGATGCAGTTTATAACCAGAAATCTGAACATTTTGTTGGAATTTAATTTTAAAGTCAAATTCTAGATCCGATTCATTGCTGGACTGTTCCTATCTTTCACCATTGCTTAACTCTGTTCATCTAGGCACCATGCTTGTGGATCTCAGTGTAAGAAGGGGTGGGCTTACTTAGTTTAATATTTCTAGTTGTTTTGCATATGCTGTTTGGCAACAACAAAGAAATAGTAACTTTAAGGCAGGTAAGCTGTAAGACAATTAAGGAAAACAAAAGGATGGGTCATAGACCAGAATCAGTAACGGCACTGATCAGACTAGACTAGTAGCAGGTAGCTCAGCTTGCCAAGGATATCATGTATATTCCCCCTTTATGAAAATACAGTGAAACTACTTTAATACTCAAGCTTTTAATATAAAGTAGTCATTTGACATATATTAAGCTAGATGAGAGAGAAAATTTTACAGTAAGTGATGAAAAGCAAAAGCAGCAAAGGTATCTATTCTAAGAAGCTGTAACACTTATGTGTAGTTCTTACAAGAATGATGATTATGATCCTGATTTAATGAAATAATTAAAATTTTTATCAAGTTTGATATGACATGATTTGCATTTGATTACTTGCATGCTTAAATTTTAGTCAGGTACTTATTTGATTACCACGTGAATTGAAAGTAGTAACTCAACTCCTTTATTGTAGTAGCAAGAAGGCCATGTAATGAAGTTTTGAAACATATAGAAATATATATATCTGTGTCTAGGGCTTGTCTAAACTGAGACGATTACTTAAAATTATCTCTTTTTTTTCCTACTACTGTCACAATTCAAAAGATGACCAGCATGGTAAAACTGACTGATCCTCCACGCAACTTACAGACCATTCATAACTTTCATGTTCAGCTGGCAAGCTAATACAAGTGTGTATCACATACACATCTGCTTAATTTTGGTGCTGAAATTAGTTCACATCCCCTGGGTTTTTGATAATTTGTTTGTGAGAAATTTGTTCTTGATGTAATCAGTAATTTTAATATGTTATAGTTCACACTTGTGTAACACATTTACAGTGAGTACAGTTCTGTTCGGGATTCATTGCCTTTCTACCTTTAATCACATTTAAAGACATTTAAACTATCAGCAAGACTAATTGCACACAGGTAACAGCTGCTTCAACTTGAAATGGAGACTTGAGTCTCTTCATAGTAGCATCTTCCCTTTACATTCCATTTGAAAAACTATTTTTCATGATCATAGAAATTAAGCTTTTTTTAAAATTTCCGGAAGTCAGTCCTAAAATTCTGTAATTTGCGCTACTGGAAATCAGTTACAAAGCAAACTTTTATCCATGATTCACAGATTACAGCTAGTTATTGTAATCTGCTTGGGTTGGGTTTTTTTTTTGGGGGGGGGGTTGTGGTTTTTTTTTTTTCCCCAATTAAAACCAAGAATAATAAAGTAACAAAGAACTCAACTTTTATATTTATTTATACTGAGCTTGCACTTTTTCTATTTTTTCTAGGGACGAGTACTCTTTTATAAAATCAACCAGTTTGATACTGGGGCAGTAACAGAACAATGTAGAAAAAAAACTTAGGAAGTGACAAGGGAAAAACAGGAGGCTATCTTTGCTGTCCAGTTAAGTAATAATAAAATGCAAATACGGAACATGTCTAAATGGAATACAGCTTTAAACATGGGACACCTGTGGATGGAATCACTTTCTGGACATGTCTGGTTCTCTTCATCAGTTACAGAGAGAATTTAGGCTCTGAGTTTAAATTGTAAGAATTATTTATCAGACGTCTAAAGTAATCAACATAGATGGTATAATTGTAGCCTTGCTCAACATGCTATTTCATAGATAATGAAAATATTTTTACTAGTGAAATATTATACTTCTTTACAGACTGCACAATATATTTCTGAAATTAATGGCAAATACACTATGAGATGATTCATTTTAAAACTAAATATGTAAGTTCATAAATATATCGTCATGATTATGTTAGCTCTCAGATTGTATAGATGATTCGATTGTACAGAAGATGGTTCATCTCTGTTAGTGAGATAGGTGTTAGGCAGAAACTTAAAAAAAAAAATTAAAAATCAGCAATACCCAAAGTTAGTGTCATAAATCCCTCCACTATTACCTTTCTTGTACCATAGCCTCAGCTTAATGCAGTCATTTCAGATTCTATAGATATTTACAGCACAAAAAGGTCACAGAAATGATGAGCAAGATTGCCATTTTATACTCCATCATATTTTCTAGTACCATAATCTAACAAAGAAATTAAAGCAAAACAGTGCTATAAACCAGAGAATACATTAGAATGGAACCAAGGTATGTCTTTAAGGTGATCAGAATAAAGATTTCAGAAGATCACCATGTAAACTTTTTTGTTAGTCCTATCAGTGGCTGCCCAAATTTCTAATACATCTGAAAAAAAGATAATGAAGGTAGTATTAAAGTATTCCTGCACAGCGATCTGCATCTCAACGACATTCTTCTGACATGTATACACAGCAAGAGCCAAGTGCCTGATTTGAGGATTTGCAGTGAGCTTTCTAAATTCTATCTGTATACGATTTATTTGGTCATTTGTAAGAACTGAAATCCATGCACCTTTAAGGAAAGGAAAGTGAGAAACCAAAGTAAGTGAAAATAGGCTTAAAAGACAACTGACCTTTTTCCACTTCATTCAGATTAGCAGCTTGCAGTGACAAAGACAGAAGAGACAAGAGACTTTTTACATTGTAATACAACAGCATAGCACATTAAGCTAATGCACAACTATAGCAGCAGAGAGGTTGATATAGCAAAATGAAGCAAGCTTCAGAGTCTCACCTACAGCAGAGCAAAACAAACAGAAAAAGTAAGAAGTACATGCCACTGGTGGCATAAGAAAGGTTTTACTTCTGGATCAGTTAGATCTATGATCTAATGACTGATGATAATGAGCAAGAGAAATGATCATCTGTAATCTATAGAATGTACATAAAATGACCTGAAGTTTACTGGACTGAGGTTAAAATAAAGGAGATGATAATGTTAAGAGAATAGCAAGGTTAAAGAGTGCAGGACATAGTGAGGTATTTGAAATGTTTTATTTCTCCAGGTTTCATCAGACACTTTGAGTGCTGATTCCATTTGCTTACTGCTGTTTCAGAGTTACAGTCTGTGATCTTAAGAAAGCTCATAGTATAGTGCAAATACCATTCTTTGTCTTTCCACCTGTAACTGTGGAGGTAATTGTAAAACTTAACTGAGGCAGAGAAAAATGGATTCCTGATTCTTAAGCAAAAAACTAATAAGCGTTTTTAATCGTTCGTTTTTAAATCAACACCGTGTACTTGAGAAGTGTCAATTTTCAAGGGATTGTTAGAAAAGTCAAAAAGTGACTTTTGGTTTTGCACTGCAACATTCTTTATAACACTTTTCATAGTTTTTGTGTGTATTTTCAGATTGAGATTCTAGTAAGCCTTCCACATGAAAATAAAACTTTAAAGAAGAATGATTTACATTTCATACCATCAAGTTTCAGCTGACTTCTTCCTTATACTGTGCTACTGAAATGTAAAGCATGTTTGCAGATAACCATTCACCCCCAAAAATATTCTGGGCTGGTGCACTTCCACATTCAGTACGTATATGCTGTGACATCTTCAACACAGACAATTTGAAGTATTGCCAACAGAATTAAAAGAGAACAGGACAAGCCTACAGTGGTATTTTCCCGGTATGTACACTGTCCCAGTCTCCAGCAACTTACAGCTCAGGGACTTTCTGAGCTAGAGAGAAGTATCTTTGTATTTAAAAATCTTTTTACCTACTGAATATATAGCCTGTTTTTCTGATTGTTAACCTACTTTTGCCCAGCTAGTACATTGATTAATTTAGTGAAAAATACCTTTCATAAAAAACCACATCAGCAATACGCATATCTGATTTTAACCTGTTAGAACAGATACCAAAATCCAAGTGTTTACAAAGTTCCTGATGAAAATCACTGTATCCATATTGGACAGGGATTCCATTAGTTATCTTTCAAATCAGGCTACAGGCCAGAGAAAAAATCCTTTAAATAATTTGGTACCTACTACAGAGCTGAGGCAACTGTAAGATTACTTTATATTCTGAACACTACCATTTCTAGATCCTGATGTGTCCAGAGTACTGTCAGTCTAATTCTTAATACTGAAGGTTATTTAATTATTATGAAAGAACAAGGATGATGGATGTGAAGACCCCTCGACTAGCTCAATGTTTTATATTTTCTCGTTACAATTAATCTCAAAAATGACTTAGAATCTCACACATTGTGTCCCATCCACAGATGCTTTGTAAGATAGATAGTATATTGTAGAATACTGTACTGTATCCTGTGGAATGAAAAACCCGAACTTTTGCTACAGTTTTTGCCCAATTTATCTATAAAATGAGTTGAGGCTCTGGTGTTGTATGTTTAAAAAACCACATGTGTCTTTGTTTTTGGTAAGGTGTTGAAAAAAATCGGATGAGATAGTGTAAATTCTCAACATTTTTAAAAAAACAGAACAGCTAAACTTACTGATTACAAGTAGATTGTTTTGATTTATTTTAGAGCTGGTGAGAAGATTCTCACCCACTCACATGACCTACTGACTTCAGTAGCGATTATGAGTAGGCATTGCATCTGTAAAAAACAAATCTTTTTCTGAAAGAATTACAGTTAGCAAACACTTGCCATGTAAACTCATAGTATTTTCCTTTTAGAATTATGCACAATTATGAATCAAATTAAAAAATATACTTTCTGTATTTTGACTGAAGAAGCACAACTGCAATACAAACATCAAAAATGTTACCAATGTTTATGCTCCCCTTTTTGCTCTAACTGTATAGGTGTATAGAGAAATGCTACAATTGCTGTTTCAGTTGTAAATGTAAAATGTACATTTCAATTACAATGCTACAGAAATGCAACAGGCACACTGAATCAAAGTTTTAGGCTAGCAAATATAAATAAGCCTTTGTATCCACTCCATGAATATTTAATACAAAACAGTCCTTCCCATGGCATCCTGTGAATACAGCAAGCTATTGACTCGAGCAGTTAAATGCATCTACAGCAATGTCAAAAATGAGGACACGAACGACACAGGTAAAAACACCTGCAAAGCTGCAGAGGAGGAATGCACATGCAAAATCGTCTACTACCTAACAGATACATGAAATATCTTAGCATGAAGCCACTGAACAGGAATACTGGACTGATGTGACCTTGGTTTGCTTTCTTCCAGCCTACAGTAAAATATCTGATCACATTTTTAAGGGAGGTAGCAATTGATCCCAGGGGAGTTGAAGCTTGACTTGCATATAGCTGAAATATAGTTATAGGAGAAATAGCAAACACCTGTCTCTACTTATTGATGCTGTTAGCTATTATTTGTTTCTAAGGCTTGAATTGTCAATTGCTGTTAGGTATTGAGGTATCAGTACCTGGCAAAACAGTATTTTGTCTAAGCAGATTATGTCTGTTCTTCCAGATGTGGACCATCCACTTATTATTAAATACCTTATTCTGCCTACTTACACTTTTAACCTGTACTGCTGTAAGTATTGTAGCTTATGCTGTGTGGGGAAATTTCTACCAAACATTTACCCAGCTGAAGTACTGGATGAATACATATATTAGATTATGAAGTTCTATTTCTTATACCTGTGTTCTATTGTCTTCACTCACTGTGGGTTTCCAAGATTTAAATATTGACTTTAAATTTGAATACCCTAAAACATTTGAGCAATCCAACAGGTTGTAGAACTAATCATGGAAATACCTTGGATTAAAAAGGAGTTAGCTGTGTTTCCAATAAATTAAATTAATTCAGGAGTTCACGTCTCCTCCCAGTTTTTCAGAGCTCAAATTTAGTGCCCCCTGAGGATAGTGACAAAGTCATCGGACAGAGGCAATAGGATTGATTAAAGTAAAGATACAGGATGACTGGGTAGAGTCAATTCCCAAGTTATGGTGGATTTTACATTTCTTTTTTATACATTTCAAATCACCATTTTGCGAATTTAAGCTCTGTGTTCTCCTAGTGGTCAACTAGCTAACAGAAAATAGATTTGTCTAGTTAGAAAAACTATAAAACAGATCAATGTAAGCAACAGATCATACTACTTGTTCTCCAGTGTTGCTGATCTAACTATCCTCCATTCCCACAGAGATGGTGACAGCAAGCAAGAGACCCTCTGTCTCAAAGAGAGGTGAATGCTTTGGCCTGGCTGTCAACTTGATAGAAACACATAATTAGATGCTCTCTAATGATTCTTGGGTTTTTTTTGTTTGGGTTTTTTTTGGTTTTTTTTTTGGTGCTAGAACAAAAAGTGTCACACTCTGCATTAATGTTTCTAATTTAGGGCAGGACAGCATTCAGGGGTGCCAAATTCAGTTCCCTAATGGCACAGACAGATCCTTTTCTGCCCTGTTAGTAACATGAAGTATACAGGATAAAAGCAAAATATTTTTCAGATCTCTACAGTTACAGAGGTTCTTTATTGGGGTGTCTGGGTTAGATAAACAGTAGGGAGTTACACATTTTGAATGATCTTTTAAATATCAAAATTCTGTAATTGCAAAACTAACAAAGGAATTAATGAGTGATCATTAAGTCTACTTTTGACTAAAAACAATACAGGAGAGAAATATGGAGGGAACCCTGGCTTTAAGTCAATTGTAGAGTAACTACTAATTCTCCTACAAACTGAAAAATACTACTGTTCTGCTAGGAATTCTTGAATTACCTGTACTTTCTCTTATACTCCTACCTGTATATTCCGGTGGACAAAGGCAAGTATAGTTATTAATTCCATCCACGCAAGTAGAATTATTCTCACAGTCATTGTCTTCACAGTCATCAACATTTACTTCACAGTTTTCACCTTCAAATCCATCTGCACAAGTGCACCTGTAATACAGAAAACAAAACTAATCACATGGACATTTTAGCTGGAGAGACCAGACAAGAAGTTCTGTAATTAACAGGTACAATAATTCATAATGACTATCCCATAAAGGAACATGGTTGATATAATGTAAAACACCATATAGTAAATGTTTATTTTTCATATTTTAAATTACAGAAAAAAGGCTTCTAAATTTGTGCCTTAATCTTTAGTTTAAGGAGCTTCTTTAATTAAATCACTGAACATTTCTTTTGAAAAGCGTGCTACCTTTATATTATAAGATTAGATTATATTTCTTACGGAAAGTGATCCTTTTTTTTTTTTTTTAAAGTTAAACACATGGAAAAGACTGTGGAATCAGGGATTAGTATGCAATAATAGTACTACACTATCGTTCAGTTAAATGCACCAATATAAAGCTCTGTTTAATGTTCCATGCACAATACGTGCATTAATATATAAAAACAAAGTCTGTATAAACTCTTCAAAGCAGTAATTTTTTTTTGCTTTTACATGTGTTTATACAAAACAAATACATCAAAATAGATAGTAAATGTAAAAGATCACTGAAACATGACTACACATATAGTTTCCTGTAATATTCACTATCTATAATTTCTGTGGCTTTGATTATAAGATTGCTTTGATTTTCAAAATATATAGTGTTTAAACAAATAAATGAAAAAAGTCAAATTCTGAGACGACTGTCACTTTAAATTCTAGAGGCATAGAATTAAGATGTATATGCTTAAATTTTAATAGAAAACTATTTAATCTTTGGGCAGAATTTGCATTAAAACATAAGAATAATGTCATGAATTGTAGGATAATGAATTGGATCTTTTTGAAGTATCATTTCTAACAGGCTTGAGGTGTAGATTGTTAAACGACTAATAATTTCACATAAGAATGCTAAAGAACTTTATTTCATAATTCATGAAGTACATCTGGAGTAATTGTACTGTGTGATTAAATAACTCAAGATTAAAAATGCTCACAGCATGTTTATCTGCTGGCATAGTGAGCTTCAAATGAATCATTAATTTTCTGTTTCACTGGGATTTACATTTTATCATTTACATGCTGTCTGTTGAAGCAATACACACGACAACAGATGAATTGCGAGATTTTTTTCAGCAGGGATCTAGCTAGCTATTAATTAGCATAACAGAGTCAATACTATGTTGTCTTGACCTGATATGCCTTAACTAATCACAATCATTTGTTATTAACAGTTTCAAAGCTTTAGAAGCTTTCCAAGGACGGCGACATGTTCTGAAAACTTCAGAAGCACTGAAAATCTGCCTTTGTGGTGCACTTACCAGCAAACAGAGAGAACCCAAAGATTAACACCGAAATTACTTCAGCTCAGTAGTTTTCCATCCTGTTATTACAATTGAAAACAACCTACCAGAAACCATCTTTTTCTCCTTCTTTCAAATGACAAGTTCCGCCATGGTGGCATGGGTTACTAATGCAAGCATGAATGGGAATATCACAGTCTTGACCCTATGCAGGGAACAACAATTATAATTTAAGAAGAAAATACAGACACTAGTGGAAAGGAGCTTAACAACTTAAAGGTTGTTAAGGAGAAGCTTACATTGCAGCAAGCTTTTTCCTGTTTATTCAGTGCCTACCTTGAAACCATATGGGCAAGTACATCTATAGAAGTCAACTGGATCATTGTTGCAGGTTCCATCGTTTTTACATGGATTTGATAAACAGGGGTTACACTTAGCAAGAATATTAACATCCACAGGCCCTTAAAAATACAAATGCGGTAGTCAGAAACAAACAAGTATTAATATATATTTGACAGGATGTATTTACCATGTTGCTTTAAATTTTAAAATGAAATTTGTACTTTAGACGTTGTGGTGTTTCTATATGAATGGAATGCTGGACTGTCCTTAAGTCTTTTGACGTGACCAAATAAATTTGGGATTGGATTTTTGGCTTAATTGTCAGTTTTTTTTTTAAAAGAAGCTGACCCCACAGTGATTTCTATACCCCCATTCTCTGAAATCTGTGCAGTTCTGATCCATGATTATTACCTTCCCTTTGTATTAACAAAATGAAGAAAACAACTTCAGCTTTTGTCTCTCTAGGGGATAAAAATTGCCTGAGAGAAAAAGGGCTATCACAGTTTGCAGTCCTGCCCTTGATGGTGTTACTGAGAACACTATTTTTAATGTATTTTTGTTTTAATTTATTTTTTATCTGCAGGGTCACAGAGATGGCAAAATGAACTGGTAAAATTATGTGTAAATTGGTTGAACATCTGTGAGCTGTAATGTAAATTGCATTGTCCAAGCTACCTCACTACAAATAGCTCTATATTGTGCCTTCCTCCCTTATGGAGTCAGCCATGGTTCTGTGAATTACTGCATTAGTTGAGCCCACAAATAATGCAAACTGTAGCATGAATCTATGTGCAAATGAGGGTTGTAATCCATGCTTGCAGTCTAGTTTCTTATATTAATGATTATAACTACAGAATTCAGAAATGAATATTGACAAAATCTTAAGTTTCAGAAGCCAGATGTAGAGCTGTGGCCTACATAAATATTATCCCTATTATATAAATGTCTTTTAGTTATTTATTTATTTTTCTGTTGTTTTACAATTTTAATACAGCCTTTTCATGGTGAATTTTCAAGTTAGGAACCATCAATTTTTAAAATTTTTTTTTTTTGTCAACCAACCAAAGAAATCACTGGTTATTCGTTAAAAATTAGAAATCACCTGTGTATAAATAATGACTCATTTTCATACACTGTGATAGACAAAAGATTGATTACTGTAAGAGAAAACAGGGATGACTTGGCCAAATGCCTATTAAAAGAATGAACATACATACTCTACTATCTCCAGCTCTATTGCTTGATGGTCTTACTGCCTCCAGCTTGATTTCAGATTTCAACTATGAAAAAAGCTTTTAGTTATCCACAGGTGATTTGTACATTTTAAGGAATAACCAGTGATTTCTTCTAACTAGACACAAAACCCAAACTCCTGAGATGTACTGGTAGAAATGCCTGATTGCTTCATAACAGGCTTTACTCAAAATGTGCCAGACTGCAAAGTTTTCCAAGCTAACAGGGCACTTCTACTGAGATATGGGGTTTTGTTTTTTTTTTTTTTTTAAACTTAGATTTCTTAACTTTCTTTACTTATGTTTCTTTGCAAAATTAGTCTCAGATAAGTCATTATAAAGCAGCTGGCATGGAAGGAAGCTATGTGATAATAAGGATTCAGTATGGGGTATGAGACAGGGAGAGACTGACTTCTTTAAAATTTTTTTTTAAAATCTGCAGTTGCTAGTATCCTTCTGTGTCACAGCTTGCAAACAAATACAGAGAGATGAACACGGTAATCTGTGATAAGATGCTTATTGCCAAAGCCACAATCTACATGGATCATTGACTATTCTTGTCTTCATTACCTTATTTTGAAAGAGAAATCTACTCCTGATTGAAGTTTCTGTTAGACCAGCAGAGAGCAGAGGTAGAAGAGTTGAAACAACCACCATAGAATTAACATCTAGAAAGTCTTACCTGTGTACTCTAGACTACTGCTGATTATTGCTAGAGTACATTAAGAGGGTCTGTGAAAAAAATAAGGCACATACTAAAAAAAATTAAAATTGTAACACTGCTGTTGCCTGGAAGTCTATGTTTCCTTGCCTCAACTGTTTATTCTGAACATCATATCCTCTTTTCTACTTCTTATGCAGTAAAATGCTAATTATTTGGCATGAATTAAAAAACATTCAGTAACTAAGGTTATTTTCCTAAATGGATTAGCAATCTAAATTTCACTTCTGAAACAGAGCCAGAAAATGGGAACCTACGTCTCAACAAGATAGTAAACAACACTGTATCTGATTTTGTGCTGTAAGTGTTTATTTTAAACTATTACACATGTAGTATCCAATAAAAATTAACATTTTGATTTATCATTCTTCGGTTGTAAGATCAAAAAATGGAAATGTTTCAGATATTTTTACTGAAGTCTAATGGAAAGGTAGTTCTGGAACCTATTTTCATTTGCACTATATTGTTCCTTTCCTTGTTCTGCTTGCATACGTTAATAGACTTGTATATGAAAAAGAACTGGGTTCATAACCTACTGTTAGTTTTTTCATATTGTAGACATATATATTCTTGAATAAGTCCTAACTGGAAAAAGATCCTCAAAATAAAATAAAAAATAAGCAGTGTTCTTTTGCAAACAGTGAAAAACTAACCATATTTTATTGACAAACATAGACACACACATGTAGCTATCTAATATTTTTGAAGAAAAACATGACACAAACCCTGTCAAAATCAGCTTCACGAGAAACCTGCTGCGGGAAAAACTTTAAGCTCTAACTTTTTATGACTCAGGAACTCCTATTCTCTCTTGCATATGGCCTCAAAATCAGTATCTACACTGAGTCACTTATATTAATGCTGCTAATGAAATCACTGATTGTAGAACAATGCAGTGGAAAAAACCATTTCAGTCAGACAATTTTCAGACCTCAAACCCAGGCTTCTAAAATAACAAAACTGTTCATACGACACGTGAAATGATATATCATGAAGAGTCAGCTGTAAATTCATCAAAGGGGAAAACAGACAGTAAACATGCGTGTCTTAGGAAAGAAGTCTGCTTGAGGTACACAAAAGGAAGGTCAGAAGGTCCATTCTTAATCAGATCACCCATTCCAGATCTACTTATAACCTTACCTGGTATCAGAAAACCACAAGGCCCTGGAATCTCTAGAGGCAGGGCATGGATGGTAAAGGGGTAAAAGTAAAAGATTGAGAATCTGTTAGAGGCCATATAGAAAAAGAAAAAAAAACCACCCATAAACCTAGAAAAACAACTGAAAGAAGAAAATACTACGAGATGATTCTTGGAGTAAAAGAATTCATAAAATTAGAGTAAGGTACAGTGATTTTATGGAGCTCTACAACTGAGATGAGACTTCATTTTAAAATGTTTATTTTCACTGGGAACTATTCATTTTGTAAGGCAAATTCAAGCACCCATTTCACTTTCAATTGAATCCAGAGATACTGATAAGAGGGAATTACACACTACTCTCTTCCTGTAAATATATACACAATAGCAGACCATGAACAGATATATCCGAAGAGTCCTCTCACTCATAGCCTAAAATTTTGGTTCTAATAGGAATATAGCATCTTCCTAATTTCTATTCAGCAGTTCATTTTTAAGCAAAAGATAAAATTATTTATCTTTGAGTAACAGACACGTAATGTCTTACAGGGCCATCATGTCATTGAAAAGCTGCTGATTTGCAATCTGTAATTATGAGCACCTTCATAGGACAGTGGCAGGAAAACTATTTTCTCTCAAAGGTATCTATAATACCAGATCTCCACTCTTGGAGGTGAAACAAATAGAGTTCTTACCCTGCATAATAATATAAAGGATATTTTCTGATGGGCAAGAGGGAGTAAGATATACTTTCTGGATTGTCTGACAGAAACACAACAATGATTGTAGGCAGGGGTGATATAGTTTTTAAAACTGACAGAGCTGGAAAATAACCAAACAAGTCCTCCACGTCCCTGCAAATATTCTTTCACTTACACCCCTACAACAGTGTGTAATAAGAGCATATCTGCAATAATGTTCAGTGGATGCTTGTAGAGAAAATGATCAGATTGGCCAGCAAATGTCCTATCTAAAACCAGACTAAGGGACGTTGCAACAGATGAGTGTCATATGCACTGAACAACAGCATGACCTCAGAGATGTACTGTTGAAAAATTGCAGGAAGGATTTGGAGGGAAAGACAATTCATTGGCATCACAGGCAACAAAATGGGTTCCAGTGGTTTTTGTTTACAAAAAAAGTTTTTTTGACAGAAAGCCTAAGGAGAGAAAACTAAATAGGATGAACATGCAGTAAAGAACAACTTTGGGTGAGACAAACCCTGAAGAAGTGCCATTGTTTTTTCAAGGAAGAAATTATGAAGGGATTAAGCTCACCTTTGAAGATACAATAACAGATGAATAAGTCAAAATAGCTGGGAGATTACATAGACTGTGACAATAAGTTACCTCTACAAGACTTAAGATCATACTTATCTGATGCCTCAGAAATAACTATAAGCTTAGTAATGTCTTACAAGTATAAGCATACAAATTTTGTTGTGGGTTTTTGTTTTCCAATTGGGGATTTCAAGGTTTCTGAATCAGGACCATGAAAAATGAAGCTACAGCAGAAGTTTTCTGTGTTTCCAAAATATTTAAGGAGGAAGAAATGGATGGAATAGAGGAAGATTAAATAGTAAAACAAACCAAGTTTTCTCTCACATGTGAGTAAAAAGGGTACTTTTCTAACAAAAAAATCGTAAGGTTCAGAAAAAGAACCTAGGAATTAACAGATAATAAGTTGTGATATAAATGCCAGCAACACTGGTACCAACATGGATAAACCTCCCCATATAACCATATTTTAGAATGAGACCTCTATAGAGGTAATCACATCCCTTTACCTACCTACCTACCTACCTACCTACCTATCTATCTATCTATCTATCTTTTTTTTTTAAAAAAAAAAATGCTTTCTTCTGAAATATCAGAGACAGAATTCTGGACATATTGCTGCAATTACGTACCACTGAGATAATGCAGACTGCAAGGATGATGGATGTATTTACAGTTTTTACTGTAAACAGTCTGAAGGAAAAGGATATTCTTTGGCTAAAAGAAGTGTAGATGTTTAAACTGTAGTTCATGACTGAGACAGTACCAAGTACCTATGTACATCCATATACTGAGGAATACTGTACTGCAAGTCCAAAGACTTTTTTTCTCCAGCTACTGTTTAAAAAGAAATAGGCATTGAAGTCTTTAAAATAAATACAGTTCCTGAACGGAACTGATGGCCACATCCCTCAGTATGAGGAGGAATGATGACAAGGCTGAGTGAAGATGCTATAATAAATACACTTAGAAGAGCACACAGGACTCTTATTTCACAGCTCAGCTATTTGTAAAAATTCAAAACTGACACTTCAAAGAGAAAAAAACAACAGTACCTTCGCAAGTAAATTTTTTAGAAGGAGTTGTGAGAAGAAGTTTATCTGCCATTTCTCCAGGACCAGCACAACGTGCAATACCAGGTTCTTTGTATTCTGATTTTACCCAGTCAGACAGCCACTGCATGTTACAGTCACAATAAAGAGGATTTGCTCCAATAGCCCTACGGAAAACAGACAAACAATAAGGGAATAAAATTTTAAACTGGCGCTTTTAAAAAGAGAACCCAGAAAACAGGCTGGCAAAAAAAACTTCAAACCACAAACCTGCCCTCCCTCCACCACGTTGACCCTCAGAGCATGAAGTATCTGGATTTGGGTTCTGAATCAAGAAGTGACAGTTGAAGCAGTAAACTTGGTCCAGAAACCTAGCTATGCTTAGCTGCATTACATGTGAACTTTGGAGAGCTAATACTAACTAGCTCTGTTTCACCGTCGGTATGTAATAGCCAAGATCAGCTGCATCAGCAGAATGAAACTGATACTGGGAAATTAAGTTAGCAAGAATAAAGTATTTCTTCCGAAGCAGCTAAGGCAACCCCACAGAGTTCCACCCAGATATTTTTCCTCTTCAGTTTATGACTCCCAGGCTGGTACAAACCATCTGTTTCTAAGCTTCCAAATTTGATTTAATTATTTCCTCTTTGGAGCTCTCCCACTGAACTCATGGCTATGTGCAGAATTCTGTAAGAGGTCTCTGCTGCGTAAGTAAATAGAACTGCATTATCCTAGCTTTGTGGTAGTTACGTAAGAATTGCCCCACTGTGAAAGCAAATCCATTTCTTTAAACAAATCTGATTTTTTTTTTAATTAAAGAACAATTTAGCTACAGATTTTCAGAATTAATTTCTGTAAAGGCTATTTAAGTGTCTATTTTCTCTGCTAGAAACTATAAATACTCTTAAAACTGTGAGAACAATGATAAGTTGTATAGTTAACTTGGAGGATAGAAGCATTGTGCTATTCTATAAAGATGTGCTCATATTCCTTTTAAGAAATGCAATAATCATAGAACTTTCAACAGATAATCTCGACATGTACACACAGTCAAATGGCAGTACTAGAACATCCTCCTTCTCCAGGTGTTTCAGTACTTTGTTTTAGATTGTTCCACAACCTTGGATCAGTGGGTCTTCTAGAGATACAACAAAATCTTTGGCAAGCAAAGGCAGTAGAAGCTACCACAGCTGAAACACTCTTTTCTGTCACACTGAGCAGGAAGCCCTCTCTTAGTTATTGCTACATACTTCCAGCTGAACACAAGAAATGATACATACTTGTTCAGTCAGGCTTAAGTCAGAGCAGTAACAAAAATCAGACCTAGTGACAGGGAACTTCCCGTGCAAGGAGAAATACCTAGAATTTGTCCACTCCATATCTGCAGGAGTGAATATCAGCATGAACTGAGATAACACAATTGCTCTGCTAAAATCGGAACGTTAGCAACTGTCCTGGTTTCGGCTGGGACAGAGTTAATTTTCTTCCTAGCAGCAGGCATAGTGCTGTGTTTTGGATTTAGTAGGAGAAGAATGTTGATAACACGCTGATGTTTTAGTTGTTACTAAGTACTGCTTATGCCAGTCAAGGACTTTTCAGCTTCCCATGCTCTGCCAGGTGCACAAGAAACTGGGAGGGGGCACAGCCAGGACAGCTGACCCAAACTGGCCAAAGGGCTATTCCATACCATATGACGTCATGCTCAGTATATAAACTGGGGGGGTTGGCCGGGGAGCAGCGATTGCTGCTTGGAAACTGGCTGGGTATCAGTCGGCGGGTGGTGAGCAATTGCATTGTGCATCACTTGCTTTGTATATTATTATTATTATCATCATTATTACATTGTTATTATTATCATTACTATTTTACTTCAATTATTAAACTGTTCTTATGTCAACCCAGGAGTGTTTCTCACTCTTACTCCTCCAATTCTCTCCCCCATCCCATCGGGGCAGGGGGAGTGAGCAAGGATAACTGGTAGCCATTAAGAAAAAAATAACAGCAACAACAATCAAATCTATGTAAGTTTTACTGATATTTCATACAGATAAGCTAGTGTAATAGTAGCATTTGAATCAGTATCATCAAATTTCTGAGAAATGGTAAATTAATGTAAATGTCCAATACTGAACTAGAAGCAGATAATAAAGTTTTTAACAACAGCAGCTGTTCAGAAACAAAAAAACCAGGTATATCTAAAGGCACTAGTCAGCTTACTCCTCAATTGCAAGCAAAGATTTAATAACTATCCATAAACACAACGAGGTTTACAGATAGGTAACTTGCTCTAATCTAGGTTCCCATTGCAAATTAAAACCAGGAGAAGTATTGCCTCAAATTATGTTCTGAAATCAGAATATTTAATGTCAACTTAACAGACACTGATACAGAATCATAGAATAATTTAGGGCACTCCGGAGGTCACCTAGTCTCACAAAGCAGGGCTCACTCCAAAGTCAGAGCAGGGTTGCTCAGGGCTGTGTCCAGCTGAGCTCTGAAAATCTCCAGGGATGGAGATTCTTCCGCTTCTTTGGGCAACCTGTTCCAAAGCTGAACCACCCTCACAGCAAAGAATTTTTCATTATGTTCAATCAAAGTTCCCTTGTTGCAGCTTGTGACTGTTGACTGTTATTCTTCACTGTGCACCTCTGAGGAAAACCTGTCCCCATCATTGCTATAATTCCCTTAGAGGCTTAAAGACTAGGAGTTCCCTCCTTGACATCTCCTTCTCCAGGCTAAATAAGCCCAGTTCCTTTAGCTTCTTCTCACAGCTCATATGATCCAGCCACCTCTCCACCTTCCCTGCCCCTATCCTGGATTTGCTCTGGTTCATACACATCTGCTTTGTACTGGAGAAACTGTGCACGTATTCCAGATGTGGCCTTCGGAGGGCCAAGCAGAAGGCAGTGACCACTATCCTCAACCACCTGGCTCCTTGCTTTTTAATTCAGCCCAGGGTGTCTTTAGCCTTCATTGCCGTAAGGGCACATGGCAGACGTTCAATTTGCTGCCCACCACAAGGCCCAGGATTTTTCTGCTGAGCTGCTAGCTGGCCAGTCCCCAGCCTGGACTGATACATGAGCTTATTCCAGAGCAGGCCTTTGCCTTTGTCTTTGATCAACTACACGAAATGTGCTAAATGTAACACAAAATGTAACATCAATGCAAAATACAGTTAGCATCTGAATACTCACAGGTGTGATAATGCAGAAAGATCATTAAAAGCTCCTTCAGGAACTACAGAAATATCATTTCCATGTAAAGACCTTAAAAAGAAAATAAACAGAATAATACGCATGCATAAAAATCATCAGGTTAACTGCAAATTTCATCTTTGGTAAACAGTTTTCAGCTTTTCACTTTTTTTTTCTTCTAGCTCCTCAGTGTTTCCAGCTGGTTTTTTTCTCTTTTTTTCCGCTCTCACTGGCAACCTACTCGTCACTTGATTTTTTTCATCCTGAATTTTCATAAGAAATGTTAATAATATGATTCTTTTTAAGTGCAAGAATAAAGGTCAGCAAAAGTAGGCACACTTCTGCAAGGTACTGATGGGATTTAGGGATAGCAGAAGAGTTATTATTCTGACGTTTTCAGCAATTCCCTGAAATTCCCATTAATTATGTTCATACATATTTTTAATCTTTCATGGACTCATGGCAAATACAGGCATTGACTGTTCATTAATGTAAGTATTAAGGTTGTTGCCCTAATTTGATATTAAAGAGCTAAAAACCTTATTAAGTATCAATACCGGGACTAGTGTGATCTCTCTTGTAGCAAACCTGCACAAAAATATCTCTCCTTTTCTATAAATTCATTGTTACATGTATATCTAACACGTACAGAATTATGGTTCTTGAAATTATCAATATTTATTTAAAATAATTGGCATTATGTGAGCACACTTAAATAATGCCATGCTTGAGACATTTAATCCAACTAAGCTATTAAATGGTTATAAACTACCCAAATGGAGGCAAAGATTACACGTTCTGCTGGGGACTTTGGAGAAAGAATTTTTGCAGTATCATGATTGGTTTTTTTCATAATGATAAACTGAAGCTGTAAACTAGACTGACTGTTCTTTATTTTCCTTTGTCCCTTTTTACGCCCTTTCAACCATGTTTTTCCTAGTGGTAAAATGGAAGTTTTCTTGGAACCAAAAAATAATTTTATTGATTTTCAATAGTAAACCATGATGCAAAGGTTTTGGAAATACTCTCATATTAAATGAAACAAAGAAAAAAATTTATTTTTGGAATAAAAATATTCAAAATTCAACTGCAACCCCCCCTCATATATACTAAGGAATTTATGGCTATGGCATATTTGTTAGACTTCAATGCTTATAACAAGGAAGAACATAACACAAAAAAGAAATACAGCCAAGATTAAAGAGCAGAAAAGAAAAAAGTGAGAGTATACTACTTTTGAGAATATACTACCCCAGAATGAAGCCACTTAGATTTTTAAGGCTACGAAATTATCACTTCTCAAATACTTGCTAGGTTTTAAAATCTAGTAACTTCCTACAGAATTGCTATCTGTTGTACAGAAATAAAAATTCTAGAAAAAAGCAATGGTTAAAAAATAATACTTACAACAACCTAAGTGATTTCAACCCATCAAAAGTCCGTGCAGGGATACACCTCAGGCGATTGTAACTGAGAATTCTGAAAATACATAAAATACTGTCAGCAAGTATATCAGCCATTCAGTAAACAATACAGAGCATGAGCAAAACCAGCTTTTGCACACATAGCTAGTTAGGAAACGAGTTATTTTACAGCCTCCACAACAAGCAAGCTTTAATATCAACTAAAAGCCCTTTCTTTCCAAGACAAAAAAACCCCACTGTAATACTTCCGAAGAGTCACTGTTACATGTTTAAACTTACAAGGTGAGCAGCTGAGTCATGTTGCTGAAGCTCTGATTAGAAAGAGTGCTGATTCTGTTGTTACTTAAATCTCTATAAAAAATAAATTCAGAAATTCAGACCTTAAAATGACTGCCCCAGTCCTGAAACACTGTAAGTTAAACTGACAGACACATTATTTTTATTAGTAGAAGTAGTATCATCATTGGTATCAATATTTAAAGCAGCACATAATTTTATTTTCACATGCCATATACAAGCCCAGCAAGTGTTTAGCTTGATCAATGAAAAGCATTTACATTTCAACACAGATGAAAAAGCAGCGCAATGCATTCTTATACAACAGCAATGTCCATCATGCTACTGAGTTAATAATGCAATCCTATATGAACCCAAGTATAGAAATTAAAGTGATGTTTTAAAGTGGAAATCATTCTAGTCATGTCCCTAATGACACCTAAGTATCATCTAATGCTCTACTTAACACTTACATGCTGAAGACATCAAAGCCCAGAGCTATTATTATAAAGAACACTACCTAAGATTTTTAGAGAAAGCCTTAACATCCTTCTTGTTGTTCAATATTCTAATGAATAAAATCTTAAGCGTAAGTATGATGGAAGCTGGAGTAGTATGCTGGTAGCTTCAAAGACACTAGCTTCAAAGAAGCTTTGAAGGAGCTGTATTAAATGTGAATACTGCTTGTTCTTTATTCTCATATCGTGCTTTAGTTTTCATTTTATGTTGACGATTTCACTATTGTTTACTGTATTTTGTGGTGAAATACAGCATTTGTTTCTGAGGGGACCTTGATATTTCAACTTAAGGGTACTGTTGAATAGCTATGCAACATATGTATCTCTCCCCTTGAAATTTCATGAAAGCATGTAAGACAATTGACTCCTAATAGTAAACATATTGGGCAAGTATAACAGAGCAATGTATTCAAAAGAGAAAGAAAAAGTTAGAAATAAACAATTTTCCTTGTTAATCTGGAACTCAGGAAACTCATATGTAATTCCTTGTTTGGCCACAGAAAAACTATGCAGCATTTTGGTTTTCCAAACACAGCTGAGGAACATTCTCAACTTCATAACAGCAGTATGAGGATACGTTCAGAAGAGATTACAATAATGTGCCCCACAGGTCTGATAAATAGAGACTGTTAATACTCATCTTATTTGCATTTTATTTACTGTTAATGTATAATTTATTGTATCATATTGTGTGTATTTTCTGATTAGGATGTAAAGTTATACAATTTCTGGCTGTGTTTGTCAAAAATAGACCATGTGTACTTAACCTCTGTGATGGAAGCCTTGTCCCTATTACTCTAATTAACCTCATCTCTAGACATATATTCAGTCTCCACTGATACTGTTACTGCACCCAGTCCAATCTATACACTTGATTCTTGTACTGAGGTTCCAAAGTTTGTATTTTCTGTGTGCTGCAAGTTAGATCTTGTATAATTTCCCTAAACAATCCATGAAGATTTCCTATAGCTTCTATGCTGTAGACATTTGAGAATATTCCAAGAGTTTTTCCTGATGTTATTTGCAAAATACAAAGTTTTGGAAACATGTTTTTTCTAAATTTGTGACCGTGACCACTTCTGTCTAGCATGAGGTAAATAAAGGAAATCATGTTCTTGTTTTTGAATGCCAAACCGTTTTAATTTTTGCAGCAAAGCTCTAAACCCAGTCAAAAAGAAATTTAAGGGATTTTGTTACTCCCTCCACGTTTTATTCTGATTATAATGAAACCACAAACTGCTTTCAGAATGTTACACAGTTCAACCTCAGCTGGTATAAATTTTTATATTCCTAACAAAGGCCATGGAATTACAGTCATTTAGTTCGACAGTCTTCCTGTTTCTCTCACTGTACTTTTACAAGGTACAGAAGTCATATTCAAATCATTCATGAAGTAGAGGTAATAAATTTTAGAGCAGCTAGTGATTTGCCTCAAATCACAGAGTGAGTCAGCAATAGAGTTGGGAGTAAGGCATTCTAGACAAGCTCTCTTCTTGAGTCATTAAACCATGTATTGTGGGAGAAACAGAAATATATTGTGCGAGAAACAGAAGGGGTTACATTCAAGTGTTACAACAGCTGTATGTGCTATTCCTATGTGAAGCATACCATGGAGTGAAGCGTATCACAGAGTGTTTCTTTTGTAGATGAAATAATTCTACTTCATTTATGGAGCTGCGTAACAAAATGCTGCGTTACCCTAACACATTTTGTAAGATCTTACATCTCTTTCAGGTTAACTATAATTTCTGCCTATTGACTTTGTGATGTAATCACTGGAATGAAGTACCCCTGTTTATAAAATGTGACTGAGTATATTATATGTAGGACGTGATAAGTAGAATAAAATATCCTCCATTACAAAATGTGGTTGGGTATTATATTTGCTAAAAGATATGATACATTTTATGTTTTTTTTTTTCTTATAACTAAACCCAGGTATAATGGAGTAGGATTTTTTGTTTTGGTTTGGGTTTTTTTCATTCCAGTAGAGTGTTGCTCTAAAACTACTTACATGAGTGTTAAATGCTTGTAGTTGGAAAGCTCTTTTGGAACAAGGGTAAACTGATTTCCATCCAAATAACTAGAATAGAAAAATAAAACAGAGCATTATTTTTTTGTCATTAAAACAGTAGCATCTTCATCCACTAATCTTAGACTCCAACAGTAAAGTTAGTAACAAATGAATACATAGTATTTCTGTTTTATAAGAAAACTTGCTTACAAATTTTGGTTTTTAGAGACACAACTGAGGACCTGTAGCCTACAATCCAAATGCTATTGTATCAGATATTATGAATATTATGAAGTAACAGTAATAACAACCAACTCTTGCACAGTCTTTCTATTATTTTGTAAAGACTTTGCAAAAGGAGGTCTTTATCATCTCCATTTCACACCCACCTACAGGTGAAAAGTAAATCTGACTTCTGCAAGTCACATTAAATGTGGATTTTGAGCCATCGTAAACAAAAGAGACCTTGACATTGCAGAGGTAGTCCTTTACAGTGGAAAGAGCAAGGGCTGGTCTCAGCTCTAACAGCATTTGTCATGCCTGCAGTTCAGGTCACCTTCCCTAATTTCTCCCTGTATATCTCATGATATATCAGGCATGACATACTACAAGCCTGTTCCTATGGAGTATGTTAGGGACTAAAGACAGTAATCAATTACCCTTCAGTAGAAAAGTTAGATTTTTTTTTTTTTTCCCCTCTTTGTAGGTTTACAGCTCCTGTATTATATTGCCTGCTCTTCTTCCATGCTCACAGTTCTCAATAACAGACTTGTTCATCCTTAGAGTTAACAGGTGCAGAGCCGTCAAACTGTATCAGCACCTGAGTTACAGGCAAAGGAAGGTGACAAGCCTTGCCTAAAAAGCTTCCAGTGTGCAGCCAGTCAGTACAAAGTGCAAGTGGAGGGGCTCTTCATGTAACCAGGGCAAGTAGTTTAGAGATGATAAGAAGTGTTGAATTTACCCGATTCTCTGAAAGGGAGCGGACAGTGGCAGGAAGATTAAAAGTCTTTAGTTTCTCAACTGGGGCAAATGACTTACTGATGGCAGTATTATGGTGGTATTATTTGTGTCTCCTGGAACCCAAGTGAAAACTATACCTTCATTATCCCTATATAAAGAAGATATTTTAGCCATCCAAATATTTGGAACACACTTGAGTTAAGAGCAGCTTCTGATAGAGACATTTTTAGATTAATTTTGAGCTTAATATCTTTAAGTATGCTGCAGCTACTGTGAAAACTTTTCTCTTGACTAAATGGATGGGCTGAAACACAGTTAAACTTAATGAAATAGCTATTTACATCTAATCAAAAAGCTTTTTTTTTTTCCTTTTTTTTTTTTTCTTCCCTTGGACCATGCCTTCCTTAGGGCTGCTTGCCAAATCCAAAATATGTGTCTCAAGAAGTTTTATGCTTACACTATATTAATGGAGTTACACAAACAGTGGTGAATGGGGCATGGGCTCATATACTTAACTATTAATAAAGAAACCAAAAACATTAAAACTTTTTGAAGGAGTAAGTATTCTAAGAAAATTCTTTTATTGACAGATAAATTAGGATATATTGCTTTAGCTTCATTAGAACTGAAGTACTACAAGTATCCACTTGGCTGATAAAAATTCCTCCGTGTTCAAATGAAGCAACTATTAAGATATTTTATAAAACACATGAAGAGTACATCTTGGAAGCGTTATGCATGCTTGAAGAATCAATCAGTATGCAACTGCTAACAGGAACCACCTCTATTATCCTTTTGAAATGCTGCAAAATTGCATGCTTAGACACTAATTAAAGCATACAAAATTGTACACAAATGAGTTTTCAGTCACAGTCAGGGTTCCACTTGCACTTCCAAAAGTATCTCTCTCTAGCTGCTTAATTTTACATTGCATTGATGCCTTCACATTGTCGAATTGTATTTATTAGGCCAGACTGTATTTAATTAAGTCATCTTCAAGAAAAAAAAACATGCACCAAAACCTAATGGAATAAGTTATAGGTTTATATAGCTGTGTGCTAATTTGAGTTCTTCATAATTTCTCTTCATTAATGACTAAAGCTTTTGGATGCTACTGGTGGACATTTCAGAATCTTCTATGTAATACCAAGTGGTAAAACAGTAAAACTTTTAGTGGCTTAAGGTACAGAGTTATGATATCGTCTGAAAAAGCACTACATTAATCAGTCATTATGAAGCATTAGTAATTTAATATTAAATACGTGCCATAGGTAACACAAACCCAACTTTTTTTCTTGTCAATAATTTCTATCTGTTTCTTTCAAACTTGTGACCTAATCTGATCAAGATTCAAAACGGATGAATAACCCAATTTTTAGGTTTATATTTTTCCCTTCATAATGCATAAAAATTGACTCATCTAGTCTTATGAGTAGCTTATTCAGTTATTATCTTCAAACAGTATGTGAGCTCTCTTTTTATGTCAATGTTACTGTCAATCTGCATATTCATTTTCTTCTCCCCTCATTCTTGAACGTGACAATATAAATCTGATATTGATTTTCATAAAAGGGGAAAAAATGTGCCACTTACAGTTCAGTTACATCTTTTGGGATGCCTTTAGGCAAAGCTTTCAGGCCTTTGTTGCTGCAGCGAACTACTGTGTCTAGACAAGTACATTCTGCAGGACAGCGGGACAGTGGAGAGCAGCTATTGTCATCATTTCCTGGTTAATAAAAACAAACAGATGCTAAGCTTGCTATACAAATGTCACTGTAGTATTGGCAATAATATCCCGCCTGGAATTCTTGTAAGCAAACATGATATTTCTACGTTACGATATCTGCAAGTAGGGAAAACTTTAAGTCATCTCTGTAAACCACCGTTCCAAGAATTTACATTTCAAGTGACATTTATGTAGTACAATGTTGTTTTACTAGGAAAAAATGCTATTATATGGAAAAAAAAAGATCATTAAAGAAAGAACAAAACTTAAAATGAAAGATAGTAAAGGAAAATACATGCTGATTTTCAAAATTAACAAATTATTAAAAATAAACAGTTCCTTTAAAGAAAAGTTACAGCCTTGAAAATTGACAAACTAATAATGCAATAAATGGAAGCAAGTATGAGAGAGATGCAAGAGAGCAGCCACCTTTTTTTTAAGCGTTGAGGGGAATTCTGACATTCAGGAAGTTACAAACTAAGCAAAATGGCATGTTATTTGAGCAAGTAGCCTGAAAGAGCACTTGATTCAAGCATCAGCATTTGAAAATATTCTCATCTGAATGACAACATTTGACCAATTTATTTGATTTTTATATTATCTCTAAATTATGATTTACAGTATTGAACACAGGCAAGAAAAACTTTTGAAAACATATATATAATAGCTGTGTGCTTGCTGATCATCCAAAAATGTGTGAAAGATTTTTAAACTGACGTAGAAACTGAGCATGAAGCACAGATGAAGTTATTTAAAGCATGACATTTGGGGATCTATGGGAATCATGCCACTATACATACGAAAGCTGGAATTATAAGAAGTTCGAGTATTGATTTTCTTACCATCATCACATGTAAAATCCTGAATTGCCACATCCTGGATGGGAATCTCTTTGAGGAAGTAGGGTTTTTGGCAGCGAGGGTTCCCCGTCACAATGCGTTTCTTCCTTAGCCAGTCTCCAAGCCACGCGAGATGGCAGTTGCAGTTGAAGGGATTGGCCAAGAGGTTTCTGAGAACCACAGGAAAGTTTACTTCAGATGACACCATTTTTTCATCCTAAGTATTCTATTTCTATTTTCAAAAAGCTAAGCTTAAATACCATTCTTCAAACAATACTATGTACACACCATAGGTGAAAGGTGTAATTTAGGCTCTGTGTGGTGAATCTTGATATAACTCGTTTAGAAATAATTTAAAACTGTCAAAGACCTGATTTGTTGTCAAGCCACTCTGTACTGATAATGCAATAATTTTGTATAGAGATGAAGTCTGATTACTTTACATTATTAGCTTTAACCTGACAACAGCTATTCCATTAATTTGTCATCTCAAGATTTCCATCTTTTATTTGCTCCAGAGAATAAGTTTCCTATCTGAAGTGACAGCTAAGTTGATTACATGCCAGTTATAAAAATGAATTTATTTCTAGAAGTCTCAGTACTTTTGGCATCTCCTTACTTCAGCACAAACCTATCGACAATTCCATTATTTATAAACATGCCATCCTTAATACGCACAAATTAGTCACTTGGTGCAAAGTGTCACTTTTTATGTAAAAAGGGATTAAGTATTTTCCTGAATGATGCTACCTAAACCAGCATTTCTTCAGTAAACTTGAGTGGCAGCTTTGCTCACCATTTTCCCTTCCCTTAAATTACATCATATTTAAATACAAAAGGGATGTTTCTTTTTATAGAAAATGAGACTGAAGCCTCATTAGAAAACATGTATGAATTAGGAATCTCAGTAGGCAGAGGAAATTTAAGATAGTAATTGGACGGCCCAGCACAGAAAGACAAACAACATGGCGATTCGACCGGCTGCGATCGTGTGATGCCTACCCAAATTGTGGGTTTCTACCCTGGCTCAGATCACTGGGCTTCTGCGAGGGGGATGACTAGGACTTTTTCCTGCCTTCTCAGGCCCTTCCGGAAACCAGTCTAACGCTGCATCAAAGGGCACCATGAAAACATACCCTTCATGCATCCAAGATGGTCCAGAAAATAAACTTTCTCAAATATCCCTCTGTGAACTCTTTTTTCCCTTAACTTTACCTTACGCCCTGAAATTATACAGTAAACCACTAACAGAAACGTCCCCAAAATGTCAGAGGTTTAAACTCGGGTAAGGTAAAACACGAACGTGACTTACAACGTAGAGAGCGAATGCAGGGTGTCGAAGGAGCCGGGTGCCACGGTGGTGATCTGGTTGTCATACAGCGAGAGCAGACGGACCGAGCTCAGGCCCGTGAAGCTGTCGTTTCCCACACAGCTCACGCGGTTGCTCCTCAGCATCCTGAGAAAGGAAGGATCAGCATTTCTTACCTTAGCCCGAGCAGGGGCAGGAGCTGAAGCGGCGTCCTGAGCAGGGGCCGAGAGGTGCGACCCTGAAAGGACTGCTGCCGCTGGAGGAACCGCCAGCGCAGTGACCCCCGCGCTGCCTGTCCCCCCACCGAAGGGGCTGAGTGTCCCCGTGTGCATGGAGGGGACTGCAAAACAGGAAGGGGGGTGGGTAGGTTTCACAGAGGCAAGGCGTGTTTCCCTTACGCATCTGTGGGTTTTTTTCTTTCAATACCAGAATCAGTAATTATAAGTTTGCTAACTGACAATAAATTAAATTGATTGAAATTCCCCAAATTAGAGACACATAGCAGTCCCCTCTTCATGTTTCCAAGCCTAATGACTCCAGAGCTGCCACTTCCATGGAGCAGAAGGTTGTACCAGCTGGCCTCCTCCTGAGGCCCCTTCAACCTGAATTTTCTTAGGATCAATTCTAGAAACCACTTCTACTACATTAAATCATAGAATCATAGAATGCTTTGGGTTGGAAGGGACCTTGAGAGATCATCGAGCCCAACCCCCCTGCAGTGAGCAGGGATTGAACCTGTGAACTTGGCGTTATTAGCACCATGCTCTAACCAACTGAGCTAACCTGGCATTCTCAAGCATTTCAGTTAAATGAAATCAGGATACCCTGACTCCTCCTCAGCATGACTCTTAAGATTTAGTAAAAATTTCAGAATACTAAGCAAGAAACACCTATTCTAAAATCTCTCGTATTTCTGTAAATCATATGAGCTTTGAAGTTTGCTGTTTTCCTACCTGTCCATCAATAAATGAGTATTTTTTTCCCCACACTCTTGACTAAGAATAGCTGCTCTGAAAAATTTTAGCACCTGTAAATGATAGGCCTGATTTATTAAAAATACCCAATGTCTATGGACAGCTGAAGCCCCAAAGACCATTTAATCTTGGCTTTGCTCTGCTGATCAGGACAGGCTGTCTGAAGAAGGCCAAGAAGCTGAGGATTGTATAAACATCTTTTTTTGAGCGGAAAGAGCTAAACTGCCTTCATGGAAAGAATGAAATGAGTTCAAGCTATAGTGCTTTTACTCCTCCCTTAACTGTTGCAATGACATTAAAGTTACTTAGGAGAGAATCATTTCCCACATTTCAATATCCACCAGAATAATTTTTTCCTCTAGCAAAATTCCCAGTAATGGTTGAGCTGAATTGAATCAGACTCCATTACGTAAAATGTGTAATTCCCATGCAAAATTCTGTTACTTTGAAGCAGATGATTATTCCCATTTCCATTTCTGCAGCTGGATGTTTACCCATTCTCAACCGCTTCATCATTTTAGAGGACTCATAATTTCTGTAGTCAAGTAAGCACAACGAAGAATTTCACCTACACTATAGCCATAATTAATAATTAATGAATCCATATAATGTATGATAACTTTTTGTAAAATAGGAACAAAAACTAAGATACGCTTGAATAATCCATAGCTAATCCTCCAAAATCAAAGTTTTTAGGACAGCTAGAATATTACTTCAAAAATACCTGGCAGAAAGAAAGAATAAAAACACCCACATAATTACACTTACAGTGTTTTGAGACTTTCTAGTCCTTTGAACATTTTGTGTCGAACACTTTCCAAGCGGTTGCTAGTAAGCAATAGCTCATTCACACCAGAGGCTCCGTCAAATGCTCCTTCTTCAATATCAGTAATCTTGTTATTGCTCAGGTTTCTATTACACATTAACAGAAACAGGGGAAAACACGTTTTCTTTTTTAAATAGCCTAAATTAAAGGTTAAATGCTGCAGACTACATAGACTTCAAGATACTGAGTTGTTGTGTAAAAGAAACAAATATATTCTTCAACTTCGAACCAATAAAAGCAAAATTCAATGCCCTGCTAACTAAAGAAGTAAAGATTTTTAAAGCAATCTTTGGAAGATGCTTTTAAATAATGGCAATTACCCGGTCCATGCTGCTGCCACACAAGAACATCTTTTCATAATTTTGAATGTTGTCAGTGACTGTGTATTTTTTTCATGTCTCTAGTCCTTGTAGCATTATTAGATGAATTAATAACAAAATGATACTGTATGAGTACCAGCACAACTAACCACTCTGATTTCTGTATTTCATCTTGGTAGACACAAATGTAAGAAAACAGTATAAACAGTGACATATGTAAATGGAATGTGTGAATGTAAACAGTAAATGAAATGTTAATCATTTATGACATTAGTTAAAAAGGAGGGTTTATAAGCGTGATAGTTCATTTATCTGCAATTCGCATGCAAAGCAGATCAAAATGTGGGAAAATGACCTAAAATACTGCCAAAATATTTAGTGTTTATGGTTTTTAGTTGAAATATGGAAATTACATCCCAAATGGGTATTATCTGTACTATATCTATACAAAAGCATACATGCTCAAAACCACACATTTTCTTAAAGATTTTTCATGTTACTCTTGCCTCCTTTTGTTTTGTCTCATACAACCATTTATACATATTACAGAAGTACATATCTACACACTGAACAGTGTTATAATACGCTAGTGATTCTTAAAAAGCTCTTAAAATGCTCTGAGACAGTGTAAAATGAAGTGAAGCTAAAAATTTTTTATTTGATGGAATTAATGGTGTTGGGAAGAAAATCAAACATGATTTGATGTAACTTCTAGAACAGCATTTTGATTGTTCAAATCATGGAAGATACTATTTGTTAGAACAAAAATTCATACACTTGCCAGAATGAACTGATGCCATTATCTAAGACACAGAAAACAAGGAGTTGTGGCTTAATCTTGAGTGCTGACTGCTTATCTCTAGCCTAGCTGTAATTTAACATACACCTTGCCTGTGATGAAGGATACAATCATCGCTTTCATTTAGTTTCACAGTGGAGCTCTTCAGTCTCCTGTAAGGTGCTGCACAAGACTGGAAGCAAGAAACTCATTATTTCTCATCTCAGCTGGCTTATCCATGTCAAGCCCTTAGTTTCCTAAAATCTTATTTGTTGCTGGTGTAACACGGATAGTACTTCACCCACTTCACAGGGATATTTTAAGGATTGATGTTGCATAGCTAATCAATGATGCAGTGCATACGTGTGCTTTATTACTGATGAACCATCAAATCAATTAAACATTTAGGACCTAATTTTTCAATGTCATCTGTGCAGAAAGACCTTTGCGCCTATTTGAACCTCCAGAAGAAATATGAGCCCCACAAAAATACAGAATTCACTCATATTGGTATCTCTGTAACATCACTACCTCACTGCTTTCCAGTCATGCTTAACCAGTCACTATTATTCTCTAAATTGAAGAATGTTGTAAAAACTGATAACTACATTAGGAAGTTATGGAGCAGTATTATTAAAAATGTTAACTTTTCATTAACATTTTCTCAATTTTGTTCCTCCTTAATTATCCAGATTTCAAAGCTCTCGGGAGTTCCAGCAGACAGCTACACTAAGACTGATTAATAATCTTCCTTCTCCTTCTTACGTCTTGAACACCTCCTCAACTAAAAAGCAGCAAACTAGCTTTAGATGACATGAAATGTTTACTCAGCTACCTTTATAGCCCGAAAATATGTAATTACTGACAGTATATTCCCTTTTTCCCATTTTTTTAAATATGAAGAACTGATATGTGTGTGCATGCCTGTGTGTGCTTGTGTATGTATGCCACATTATTTTATTTATTTTAAAGGCACTCTGTAGCTGTAAAAAGTGCTAATCTGAGATACTTGAGAAATAAAGAAAACTGGGTATCTACTGTATAGCACCAAAACACTGCTGCGCCAGACATTTCTACATTCTTTTTTAAAGTATCTCAGTCCAATCCAAAGTGGCAAGGTGTACTTAAGTGGATAGGTCAAAAGCGAAGTTGGTGTTTTGGGTTTTTTTTTTTTTTTTAATCTTCGTCTACTAACTAAAAAAATCAGTAATAAGTATTTAACTAACTGTGATCATGACAGCTGCCAGCAAGGATCTGGATAAGGCTAACAATAGTTTAGATAATACTATTGCTCCGCTTGAGATTTTGGTCACTAGTAATCTAGACTGACCTTTTACAAATGGTAGCAATTTGGTGACTACATTCAAAAAGCAGTGCATCATTTTCATTAATCTGATGTATTTTTACTTGCATTTTTCTTCACTTACTATTTATGTTTGGAATTAATCCTGAAAAGATTGAGCACAGAGTCACTAAGTCTAACTAAATGATCTACCCTCAAATACGTCTTTTATATAAGCAAAAGAAAAGGTTTTCATAAATTTATTTTTAGTAATAACTGCAACTGGTTAGATTATAAACTCCCCTTAGAACATGAACTGTGAACATGGACTTACATGGATGAGCTATCAAACCATTTTTTTTCTCAGTCATTTAATTTTGGTATTCCCTTCATCTAATGACAATTTAATGAAGCACAGAATCAAAGGCATGTCTTGAATGTGCTGAAAGAGGCAAAATTTCCTGGTTAGGGAGTAGTACAGGAAGTTACAAAAGATTACTGGAACCTTTTTTAGCAGCTTATATGGTGAGGTCCCTGCTGCGGCTCCATAACAGACCAGCTGGCTGGACACTGCAGTGAATGTGCCGGAGCTATACGCCACGAGAAGTTGTTACTGGCAGTGCCTAGTCCCATAGAGAAGAGCTGCCAACTCTGATCTACCTCAGTGATTACTCTAAACCCATTCTTAATTTTTTATTAGAACATACTGCATCTTTTATAGGTAAGAACTAAGAAAGGTGAAGAAACACAGCAAAGAGCTAATGCGCTATCTGAATAGACAAGGTCCCTGAAGTTGCACTTACATTTTACGCAGCTGAGGAAGTTTCTTAAAGATTCCTGTAGCTTCCAGGACTGAAAATTCGTTGTTATTTAGTCGCCTACAAGAAGTGACATCAATTTCAGAAAAAAATATTCAGGCATTGGTACAGAAAGTTCCACACTAAGTAAGCTGTTCAGACTGGTTTAACTGAATAGCTGGTATTCAACTGGTAGCTAAAGAACAATTCCATATATACTGACATTTCTAATTCTGCTAATTCCTGTGAATGAACATTCTCGTTAGTTAAACTTAGGCATACATAAGACATGCAGAATCAAAACCAGATCACAAAATATCATACAACTAAAACTGCAGAGAAATATAAGAAGATGTTTTTAATTTTTCTTCTAAGGGAAGAAAAACAAAAATGTAACTAAGGAAGGATTCCATGGCAACTTATAAATAAAAATCTTTAAGAAGTACATAAAAGCACTGAAGATTAGTTTACTGTTCTTTAAAGGATATCAGGTGGGGTCTGCCAGACATCTGGAGGTGCTCACAGAACACTATTTACAAGAATGAAATAATTACTTTATGCTCAATGCTTCTTTTGAATAGGGACTGAAACACACTGCATAGGTATTCCCAAGAATTTAAAAACACTTCTCCGACCGTGATTTATCTTGAGACCGCTACAACTAACACACATAAATTGCATAAGGAAGCATTAAATGCTGCTTTGTAACACTACAAGAAGGTATACAATGAGCAACAAATACTAGCTGGATGCTGATCCTTCCTGCCCAGGTATCAAGGCTGTTGCAACATAGCAACCTTTAGCAGCTGCTAGGTTAGGGGACCGTCTATATTTCAAAAAATATTTGCACTGACCTGGCATTCCCTATTTCCACTCTTGAAAAGAAAATGGAAATTATGAGTCTTAGATTCTTTATATGTTTTAATGGAGTCATCGTATTAAGGAAGGGAGTCTGTCCAGCTTTTATTTAGAGATCTTAAATAGGTAGGAAAAGACATGACTGACAAGATCACTGTGAAATGGAATTCAGCACAATTCTAAATCTGGAATGCTTTTCAGAATTGCCTTATTGCAAGACAAGATTAAAAAACCCCTAGAAAATAAAAGCAAGCTGCTCGTTCATCCTTCCTTCCTGCTCATTCTCAATGATAGCCAGAAGGGAAATTAAGATTGTAAATCTGAAGGTATGTCTGTACAATGGCTTCAGCATGGAACCAAACTGAGAGAAGACAGGAAGAGTTTTTTGAATATACATGGATCGTTTGTATACCACACTGAAGTACAAGGAACATGAAATTCAAAAGATGCTACCACCTCTGAAAATCAGCTGGATGACTACATGTGATTTTTTAGTGGGACCATATCAAATGAATTTTTTCACAGTGTCAGTTAACAAAGTTACATCATCATTGTAAACAGCCTTTTTTTCCCTGTCCATCAACAACGGAAGCATCAAGCGTTCTGTAAATGCTGACATCTTCAAATACTTTTCAAGTGCTATATTATCTAGTAGAATGACTTGTTTGTGAAAACATTTATTGATTCTAATAATTCTAATTTTTCCTTGCTGTGCTCTACTGCAAACATTTCTAACCCCACTGAAAATGACAATTTGATCCTTTCTGCAACAACCTTTTATATATTAAAAATAATTTACTTTGTCTCTCCCTCAAGTTTCCTTCACACAAATGCATTCAATCTTTTCAGTTTTTCCTTGGAAGTCTTCTTTTCTAGATGATTCTTATTCTCCTTGAAATTTTTTCGAAGTGATCCATCTCCATCTTGAAAAGTTAAGTCCTTGACACATTGTTGCCACTGATATTTTACTATTGTAATGTACAGTAAAACAATCATTTCATATAAATTACATACTACACTCCTGTACATACATCCCAAAATGAAATTTGTAGCAGTGCCCAATGACACTCCTTCATCTTCAATATGTATGATAACACCACCATAGCCTTTTCTCTTGAACTACTTGCTGGTTATTCCTCAATCTTCCACTTGTGGTGCTAATTAGTCCTACCTAATGTCATAGAATCATAGAATGATAGAATGCTTTGGGTTGGAAGGGACCTTTAGAGGTCATCTAGCCCAACCCCCCTGCAGTGAGCAGGGACAGCTTTAACTAGATCAGGTTGCTCAGAGCCCCACCCAACCTGACCTTCTCATATGTAGAATTTGAATTTTTATTTTATTGAAATTGGTCTTAGTCTACTATCAATATTACAGAACAATTTTAAGAATTTACCATGTGTTTTGAAAATTTTCAGTGTTTGAGAAGTTTCTCCATACTTCTCTATGATGGAAAAGAAGCATGGGTTGAATCACTGTATTGTGTTTGGTTAAAGCTGTCGTACAAATCCTATCTTCTCTCTAACTTTGTGTATATGGTGATATCACATATCATGCATAATCATTGAGGGTAGATCCACAAATAAAGGGATATCAAGAGTTACAAATTAGGGGTTTGTGGTCAGAGGAATGACCACATGGATCACATGGCATTTTTATAGCTGGAGATTGCTGGCTTTAGAAGCAAGAAGTTTTCATTCTATTATCATGGTAAGTGATACCACACACAGAGGAATCAAAATTATTACAGATGACCGGAAAATTAATAGATGTGGTGGTATCTTCCTTCTGGATCTTAATATCATTATTTTTTGAGCCCAGTGCTCTTTACTGGTAAAGACAATAATGATAGTTGTTACCTGTCAATCACTGGATATATACTTGTATCTGGTTTATTCAAAGAAAAATACTGAAATGTCATTCTCAAAACAAAAAAGCAAAGAAGCATTTGATGATGATGTCTAAATATTCCATTTCTCTGTTCTATTTGATGCTTTTTCCTGTTTTATTGACACAATGGGTAAGATATTTGCATGTTTTGGTACAACAGCTGAACCTTCCTGGAAGGCTTTGTACCACAGTGATATTCATGCTTTTGAAAACTATCTTGTTAGGATCTGGTATTGTATCAGCTATTGTAAAATCATTACAAATATTGAATATATAAGACTGAAAATATTTAGCGTTCCTCCTGGGGAATCTTTGAGTGATTTATCAAATGCTTCCTGAATTTTCCTATGTATTAGTATGCTACCTGAAAAAATTTTTATTTCTGGGGTGCATTTACAGGCTTGTACTTTATCTCAAATACTTCAATGGCAGATTAGACAGATCTTTCACTCATTTTCTGGAAGACTGTGAGCGCGCGACAAAATAGAAACAGAACAGCACTTGGCTCATTTATAAATTTTTTCAGCTTTTATAATTAAATATCTGTCTTGAACTGTATTATTATTTTCAGATTTTTTTAAAAACAACTACTCTGAAGAAATAGGTTTTTTTGACATGATATTATTGTTGCAATCTACCCAATCGATACTCTTTTCCTCACTTTTGATCTTCATTTCCAAGATGAATCTCGGCTCCGAACAAGAGCCTGCAGAAAATAATCTAGCCTTCCTCATCACTGTTATAGAAGCATCAATGTCATTTGACTCTGACAAGTATCTTTATCTCAAATTTGGTGGGTAAAAGAAAAGAAAGGCTAGCTAGCTGCTCTTCTCGTATATGCCAGTAAATGTTGTGAACTGGAAAGCAGAGAGTGGCCCTACGACTAGACCGGGAAGTCCGAAGAGGAGCAACAAAGGCAGTGCATCAAAGACAGGGAATAACAGGAGGAAACAAGAGAAAGAGCTGTAACTTTTGTATCAGTGAGGCAAATACCAGAAGAGCTAGAGCAACTGGAATTTTAGAGTTAAAAAGTGAAGAAATAATTCCTCCATCCCCTCTAGAATAGTTGCAAGGCTGTTGAAATTTTTATTACATCAAAAGCCTTGAAGAACAATCTGTGCAGCTTATCAAGAAGAAGGTTGAATAGTGACTTTGTTACAGTTTAAGACCATCTTACTTGGATAAAGTGCTGGATAGAAAAGGGCTCTTTAATGGCAAAAAATATAAAAGAAGCCACTATCGAAACTGAAGAGAGGTGGATTCCACCTGGAAGTAAATGTTCCAATTTTAAAAGATTTTAACAGAAGTGAAGGAAAATGATTAATTTCTATAACGCACTCAGAATCTCTGGTGGATTTTTAATCCACGGATACCTTCAAACCAGACTGGATGTTTTCTGAAAGAAGTGCTGTAACTAAACATGAATTATGTTTTACTCAAACACAATTTTTTTGTTGACTGAAATTTGAGAGTTTAGGATACACAGCAGAAGAGGCTTGATGATTTAATTGTTTCTTCTGAATTTAATATGTATGAAACATAGAAAGAAAACACTTGACAGTTTATCTTCCATATGTAAAAAAATGAATATGAAAACCAATTAAAATACTAAATTAACATTATTATTCCTTCAGAGCAGAAAGAATTAAACAGAAGTCCTGCTAAGAATCAAGACAATGCATGCTTGTCACTTCAACAACTCCATTTCTCATCTCTTGGTTCAGTAACTATGATTTTTACAACCATTACTTTATGATCTTCTCTTACACTTTAACCTGTTACCCATTCCATCAGTTTTTATTCTTCAAGTAATTCTATCTCAAAGTATTACAGCATAACATTATATACATTTGATGAGTATTTTCTGTCTTCTTGTGGACCTTCCTCCACACTACAATCTTCTTCCTTTTTCTTTCCTTTCTTGTTCTTCACCCTCTATATAGTATCCCTAGCAAATCCC